CCAGAACTGATACCACCGCATAACAGGTTTTGTTTATCATAAACACACACGTGGTGAAACCCAGCAGATCTGGCAAAATATGTAGAGAGAAACAGTTAACATTTTGAGTCCCATATGACTCTTCGTAACTGAAAAATGTTAGAAAATTGATTTTTAATGCAGTTGGTAGAAGAGGGAATCCATCCTTTTCATTTCACATCTTAATTTATACCCATTTTACACCTTTTATTTTTCTCTTTCAACACCATTAATAATCCCTTTGTCTTTTGCACTGGACTTCTATACCATCTGTTCCTTTGCCCTCTCCTCTGCCTCTGTCAAAAAAAAACACTTTTCTAACATCTTTCCATTCTAAAGAAGTGTCATAGTGGACTCTGTCAACTGTTTCTGGAAACCTGCTGAGTTTTCCAGCATTCTATGTTTTTGTTTCAGATTTCCAGTATCCACAATATGTTGCTTTTATTTTCTTTATCAGAATTGTTTTCACTCTACTCTTGTCCTCTTGTGTTGGCTCCCGGATAGGCATGGTTTCATAGGTGAGCTGTAGTTGTCACCAAATTGATCATTATTCATGGGTGAACCTTAACACTGAAGCTTTGAGAAATTCAGTAAACAATTCCAACTCCTTATTTCTGGATGGTTAACATATTTTTGGTGATACCAATATGCAGTATATGATATCTGGTGAATCAGAGAGGCATGATGCATAATTTAAACTATGCCTGTATTTTATTCACCTTATCCATGGTAGTAAAGGAAAAGACTTGAGTTTAAATAGCATCCATAGTATCTGAAGTGCTAAATCATTCTGAGGAAGAGTCAGATTGAACTTGAAATGTAACTGTCTTTGCTCACTGCTGCCAGAAATGCTGAGTTTTTTTTCCCCCAGACTCTTTCTTTTTATTTCAGATCTTCAGCATCTATAATATCTTGCTTTTATTGTCAAGTTTTTTCCAGCCAGCAAAGTACCTTTTGAAATGTAGCCACATAATTCCACATAATATGGCAGCTAACTTGCCTATAGCAAAACCCACCAACACAAATGAAGTATGTCATCGAATACTGTTCTTTCTAATGCGACCTTTGTTCAAGAATAGAATTTTGTGAGGGCTTCATACACTTCTTTGGATATTGCTGCAGAACCTATTATATCCACTTAGGAGGGTAGTGTGTGATTGGCTGACTGAACTCCTCATCTGAAATCTACCTATTTCCTGTTGAGGATGCTCAAAGCATTGATATTTTTCCATTCCTTTGTGGTGTCATTTGAATACACAGATGCATAACTCTATTCAGAGTTAAACCAATCAAAACCAAACCTTTGTCATGAAGCCTATGATTTCACTCATTTCATAATTTTCAATTTTCTCTGGTTCTAACCTATTTTCTTCAGGTTAACCTCAAATGGCTTTGCAAATCTTACTATGGTAAAGGTACTATATCAATGAAAGTTGTTAATTTGTTGCAAATGAGAACAGCAAAACGACATGGATTGTGACTTTTAAATGCGAATTGCTTAGAATAAGTTTATAATTTAGTTTGAAACTGCATTAATTCAGTTTATTTACACAACTCTTAATATGACTTACACAATCACAACTGAGGTTTGAGTTGTGGAATAGTTTTGGAATAAAATAGATTCAACCACACTCGGCATCTAATAATGCTGTGGTTTAGAAGCAGAATGCAGACACCAAATTGAGTGCTCCAATTTCCGTCACCAACATTGCTTACCTAATTTGAAGCCAAAAATCTCTTGGTATAAAAAATTAGTTTGTTTGGTAATGCAGAACTTGATTATTGCTGAAAGGACACATTCTGTCCCAGCTTTTCACCTTTCATTCATCAGGACAATACAGAATGGAATCCTGTAAATGGAATGGAAAGGGAATCCTGAGTGCAAAGAATTGTGCTGACAACCAATTTAGAATTGTCAGTCATACTTGCAATGTGGTGCACGCGTACATGCTGGAAGTTACGTATGTCAAATTACAGAGCCCTGTTCTTTGCAAACAAAAAAAGAAAAAATACATGCACAGTGCCTTATTCAACTCAACAAAATGGGTAATGCCTGGTTTAACATTTAAACAAAGCTTGGCAGTAAACTGTCAGTATTCACCTAGCTGGTGCATTCTCCATAGCAACACCTGTACCACAGAGTCCACTTACCAACAAATCAATACCCTCCTGTCTTACAGCATAAATGTTGTTTATCCTTGGTATTTCTTTGTAACTTGTCCTGATGAGTGTAAGACAAAACACTTTGACAAAGTCTCTTTTTTTTTTAACAGCAATTCTGTGTCTTTTTCAAAAAGTGCACTGAAATAGTATTAATTTTATTTTAATTGCTTTGTCAGGTCAGAAAACTTCAGGAAGAACTAGCAGCTGAATACGAACGGTATCGAGAACAACATGATGCACGTAAACTTCTGATTTCAGATATGAATAATCTCAGATATCAGCAAGAACAGTCAAAAGATTCTCATAAAGAAGAAGGTAAAACTGATAGTCAAAATGGTAAATGTTGTTGTCTAGTGACTAACTAGTAACTATCCTTTCCCATTATGAAATAAGATCACTTTCTGGTCAAGATGGTTTCATAGTAACACTTTGGAATAAAGCACCAACTCTTGGCGAAAGTTTTAGTTGCCTGATACTTCAAGGCATTGGTAATTTTTTTATTTGCTTAGTCAACTACTCCTATTTGGAACCTAGATGGGTAGATTTATTACTGAACATCTTTTAGTCAGCTCCATATTAGCCTGTTGGATAAATCCTCACTGGGTATTATGGATCCAGCTGGAGAAGGAACAAAATAAAGTTAATTTTGATGTGACAGTTTAAACTAGTTAAATCCATCACTATCCATTAGGATCACTAAATCTTAGGTCTGCAAATTGAAACCTGAAATAGGAACAGAATGCAAGACATTAATGAACTCCATGAAGGGCAAAAATTACCCCCTATGATTGTGTGTAACTTAATGGAATACATGAGCTGTATGATGGGTGTCTAATATAACTATTATATTTGGGAAGAATGATCACCAAAATACTTTAAACTTCCAGGTTATTGATTAACTCCCTATTATAATGTAGTTATTGGTTTGTGTTAGGTAGTCACTTTACTGACCTACTGCAAACTTATTTTTAAAAAACTGTAATTTCATGTAGCTGTTTTATCCAGAGTACAAATCAGCAAAAATGAGCATGTTGTCGTTCTAAACTTCAATCCATATTTCAGTGTATTCATTTGAATAGAGCTGGTTTCACCAAACCAAAATGGAAATTATCTTCCTGAACTGACTACTAGTTACTGTCAGTAATATTAGCAAAGAACTGCTTATCTGCCATTTTACTGTTGTTAAAAAAATCTAATTAATAAGCTAATTTATATTGCAGTTCAATTGCTGGATGAAAATATTGTCCAAACTTTGTTGGTCTGTCCTCAAATACCAGTTAAATAGTTTCAGGTTACTACCCAATTACTTTTCTTCAAAGAAGTACTTCTGAGACCCTGAGTAGGTATGTGACTGATGTGATTTGATAGGTATTAATTATAGTTTTCTTTTTTGAAAGCTGAAGCAGTTGAGGACACAGTAAAACTGAAGCTCGCTCTGAAGGTAGCTCGTGAAGACCTTAAGGCACTGCAAGTGGAACTAAATGCAATGAAGGCAGAGTATGGAGATGTGATTCCCAGAAGGGATTTTGAGGCTTTGGATAAGAACTATAATGAGCTGAGTGAAAAGGTATATTTACCATATTTAAAATGTACTGTGCAAGCATTTCCTATGGTGTTGTCTTGTCCTGGATACGAATCCTGATATAACATGATGGTTCCGTTCTCGTGCCATCTCGTGTTATAAGAAAATCACACAGTAACCGCACCATTTAAACTAATGAGGCTGGAATTGTGTTATAGCCAACACAGTTCGCGTTCTACAAACAGTGGTCTAAATTCTTCAATTGTGTTAAAGCCAATTCATGTTGAAGAAACACGCGTTAAAGCAGAACCGACTGTATGTTACAAAATCTTTATGCCATATGAACATCATATTTTCATACTACATCCTGATTTGATTGTTAATTTCAAACTTTTTGCTGTGGGCATAACTGGACCAAGTTATAGGGAATTGCAAAGTGGTTCAGAAAGTCAAGTTAGAGCATTTTGGGTTGAATCAGAAATCATTGCATTGTGTTAGTTGCAGAGTCATGGAGATGTACAGCACGGAAACGGACCCTTCGATCCAACTCGTCTGTGCCAACCAGATATCAGAAATAAATCTAGTCCCATCTGCCAACATTTGTCTCCTATTCCTCTAAACCCATCCTATTCACATTCCCATCCAGATGCCTTTCAAATGTTGTAATTGTACCAGCCTCCACCACTTCCTCTGGCAGGTCATTCTATACATGCACCACCCTCTGCATGAAAAGGTTGCCCCTCAGGTCCCTTTCAAATCTTTCCCCTCGCATCTTAAACCTATGCCCTCTAGTTGTGGACTCCTCCACTGTGGGGGAAAAAGACCTTGTCTATTTGCCCTATGACCCTCATGATTTTATAAACATCTATAAGGTCACCCCTCAGCCTCCGTTGCTCCAAGGAAAATAGCCTCAGTCTGAATTCATCAAAGGCTGGTTTGTGCCCTCTCCTCTGGCAGATTTGATGGTGGGGACCACATAAATCATGCATTTGAAATTCCCATTGTCCTCCCACCTGGCCCTGATGTATGAAATTTTACGTGGGGCATGCAACTACTTGAGGGCCTCATCCTGTTACTGTTTTTTTTAAAAATCTGCATTAGGGTAAGGTCCACATCACGAGAAGCCAGGCAGCTCTACCTGCATGGGTTAGTGTTTGGATAAGGGTATGGACCTCCTTTTGAAGGCCCTTGTGTCCTTTGGAGATTCCCCTTCACACCATGACATTAAGGCCTGCCAGTATGAGACCATCAAACCACAGCACCCTCACCCCATACCTCACCTCTCCCTGAAATGTTAACTCTGCTTTCTCTTCACAGAACCAAACTTGGCTTTCTATGTAACCAAAAATTTTCAAACAAAATCACAACTTTAACATATCTTAACTGCCGTACATTTATATTTTAATATCACCTGAAAGAACAAGATAAGCTAACATTTGTGTGACACGTCTGAATCATGAAGATTATGTCCAGTGCAGCAAGGAATCAGAATTGTGGAATGTTGGCCCTTATTGGGGGGGGTGGTGGTGGTGGTTGGAGGTTGGTGTATAAGAGTAGGGAAGTCTAACTACTACTGTACGAGGTGCTGGTGAGACCATATCTGGAGTACTGTGAACAGTTTTGCTCACCTTATTTAAGGGAAGATATTATTGGAGACAGTTTGGAGAAGGCTCACTAAATGATCACTGGTATGGAGGGATTGTCTTATGAACACTGGTTAACCAGGTTGGGACTCTACTCGTTGGAGTCTAGAAGAATGAGAGGTGATTGCATTGAAACAAATAGGATTCTTAAGAGGCTTGACAGGATGAGTGCTGAGAGGAGAGCTGTTTCCCCTCAGGTGAGAGTCTGGGATCACAAGGCATTGTCTCAAAATTAAGGGGTGCCAATTTAAGACTCTGAGGAGGAATTTCTTCTAATGAGGGTTGAGTGTCTTTGGAACTCCTTGCCATAGAGACCTTAAATGGGGCAGAGTCCTTGTGTATATTTAAGGCTGTGATTGATTCTTGAGCAATAGAGAAATCAAAATGCAAGAAAGTGGATGTGAGGAATGTCGGATGAGCCATGATCTTATTGAATGATGGAATAGGCATGTGGGACTGAACAGCCAACTTGTGCCTATTTCTTATGGTTTTTATGGAGACGAGCATTGCCAACATCTCATGCAATTCTGCCACCCTTCTCATCATTGCCCATGTTATAAGATTCTGTCTTGTGTATTTTTCCCTCTTTCTTTCCTATGTGGATGCTTAATGATAATGTTTCACATATTCCACCCTTCAAATCCAGTGGAAAGATTGGTAAATAACAACCACACAGCACAACTGTGGAAGAACATTTTGGCAGATCCTTTGTTGATAAAGGCTAGAAAATCATTTAATGCAGAGCCAAGTAAGAGAACTCGATTGTATAGCATAAGAGGAAATCAATGAAACTATAGGCTGCTTAACTCAAGTAGAAATTCTTATTAATACAGCCAACAAAAAAAGCCTGGTGTTAAGTGGTACTGTTGGAGATTATAAAACCCAAAACAAAACAATTGCCTAATCATATTCTTCAATGCATAAACTAAGTATTAGCAGTTACATTGCAATTTTTTTTTTAAAAAACTGATTTACTTTTAAGAATCTCATTGGCAGTCAGATTTCAAATGTCTAAGGTATTTTAGGTCATCCAATATGCATTGGATGAATTCTCATCTCGTTTAATTCTGTAATTCCTCAAAAAGAGATACATTTTCTTTTTTTTTGAATGCAGGAGTATGAAGAGTTATGGAATGTTAGTATTGTCAGCTCTATATTTATAAATGTGTTTATTCCTGTAGAATGAAAGCCTGCAGAAGCAGTATTTTCAGATGAAACAGGAGTACACCACTCTGTTAGAAGTTAACAAGCAGATCACTCTCGAACGAGACAAGTTGAGTGCAGAAGTCGAAGTATTCAAAACTAAAATGGCAGGTAAACTCATCCCATCATTTTGAATTGGATTTTAGTTTCAACTAGATTCAAACCTAGGTTCCAATGATGAAAGAGCATTGTTTTAACATGCACTTTTCTAATAACCCATCAAGAAACTACAGCTTGGGTAAATTTCCAAACAGAATTACAATGGAATGCAATTCATATCCACTCAAGGTGGACTAAGCTGAAATCGGTATAAATTCCAGGCTCCTCTTAATTAAAATGTTATGACATAGGGTCATACAGCATGTCCATGCTAACTATGTTCCCAAACTAAACTAGTCCCACCTGCCCATGTTTGGCCCACATCCCTCCAAACCTTTCCTATTCATGTCGTTATCCAAATGTCTTTAAAATATTGTAATTGTACCCGCATCTAGCAATTCATTCCACGCACCAACCACTCTGTTTTTTTTTAAGAAACAATGTTTCCCCTCATGTCCTTTTTTAAAATCTTTTTCTTCTCGCAGCAAAAATATGCTCCTAGTTTTGAATGACCTGCATCGTCTCCCACCCTAGGGAAAGATCCTTGCTATTCATGTTATCTATGATTTTAGAAACCTCTTTGAGATTACCCCTCAACCTCCTACACTCCAGTGAAAAAAAGTCCCAGCCTTTCCAGCCCCTCTTTTACTCAAACTCTCCAATCCTGGCAACATCATGGTAAATCTTTTCTTAGCTCTGTCTCTCTAATTTAATAATATCCTTCCTATAATGGTGTCCAGAACCGCATTCACTACTCCAGAAGAGGCCTAACTAAAGTCCTGTGCAACCACACATATGTTCCAACTCCTATACTCAACAGTCTGAGTAATGAAGGCAAGCATGCTAAATGCCTTCTTAACCACCCTATCTACCTGTGATGCAAATTTCAAAGAATTATGTCCCTGAATCGCCAGGTCTCTCTATTCTAAAACATTAACCAGAGGTCTACCATTAATAAGTCCTGTCCTTGCCTGTTTTACAAAATGCAATACCGCACATTTATCCAAATTAAACTCCATCTGCCACTCCTCAGCCCACTGATGCAATTGATCAAGATCTCTTTGTAATCTGAGATGATCTTCTTCACTATCCACCATATCACCAAATTTGGTGTCATCCACAAACTTATTAGCTATGCCTCCTATATTCCCATCCAAATCATTTATGTAAATAATGAACAAATGTGGACGCAGTACTAATCCCTGTGGAACATTGCTGGTCACAGGCCTCCAGTGCAAAAAACAACTCTCCATCACCACCTTATCTCCTAAAGCCAAGCCAATTTTGTAATTAATTGGCAAGCTCATCCTGAATCCCATGTGATGTAATTATATTAACAGTATATTGCAGAACCTTGTCAAAGGGTTTATTAAAGCCCAAGTAAACAATGTCTACCACTCTGCCCTCAATCTTTTTGGTTACTTCCTCAAAAAACTCAATCAAGTTTGAGAGACGCTATTTCCCTCACACACAATCATGCTGACTATCCCTAATCACTCCTTGCCTCTCCAAATGCATGTAAATCCTATTCCTTTCAGAATCCCCTCCAATAATGTAACCACTACCAATGTCAGACTTGCAGGTCTATAGTTCCCATGCTCTTCCTTACAGCCTTCCTTAAATAAAGACACAACAGCATTAGCCACCCTCTTGTCTTCTGGCATCTCAGACATGGTTACGGATGATACAAAAATTTCTGCTAGGTCCCCGCAATTTCCTGCTCAACTTTCTACAACGTCCTGGGATACACTATATCAGGTCCCAGAGATTTATCCACTTTTTGTTTTCTGAGACCTTTAGCACTTCCTCTTCTGTAACGTGAACTGTTTTCAAAACATCGATATTTATTTCCGAGTTCTCTCGCCTCCATTTTTCTCCACCATCAAAGCTGATGTGAAATATTAATATCTCTCCCATCTCCTGAGGTTCAACACAAAGACTACCTCGTTGATCTTTTAAGGGGCCCCACTCTCTCTCCAGCTGCTCTTTTGCTCTTAATGTACTTTCTGTAATGTGATCCCACTAATTATAGCCTCACAATAACTACTGTATAGCCTTGATTCACATTGAAGAGAACTTCTAACAGTAATTACACAAAAAATTGAAGACCTAAATTTAAACTGTCCTGTGACAGGATGGTTGAACACAAACTTGAACTTTACAAAAATGGGAAACAAATCGCGTTTTGCATAGGTAAACCTCTGCCATCAAAAATTCTCTGGTTCAGAGCTCATCCAGTGGGGCTGAGAACTACTTGCTTCAGCTTAAAGGACAAACATTCTCAAAAAGGGAATTGTACCAAAGCATGTCTTACACTGGTTGGATTGCAGAATATCATTTATTCAGGTAGCACTTCAGGGAAGCTGAAGTCTAGATTTTAAAATCTCAACTGAGTCTTCAATAATGCAATGTAATAGGAATTACAATGTGCACATACACATATATACAATTATTAGTGGGACCACTTTACAGAAAACTTTATTACATGGACATAACTTTATACTTCTATGTGAAATTTTCGATTCTATAATTTTGTGATGGAAACAAGGCATTATGTTTCTGTTAGAGTGAAAGGTAAGGCTGGTAAGAACAATGGATGAGTAAAGATATTGAGATTCTAGTCAAGAATAAAAACAAAAATTAGATATAGACAATTGGGATCAAATGAATCTCTTGAAAAGTATAAAGAGTGTTGGGGCATTCTTGAGAGGGAAATCAGGAAGGCAAATAGGGGATATGAGATAGCCTTGACAGATAAAGTTAAAGATAATCCAAAACAGATTCTGTAAGTACATTAAGAGCAAAAGGGCAGCTGGAGAGAGAGTGGGGCCCCTTAAAAGATCAACGAGGTAGTCTTTGTGTTGAACCTCAGGAGATGGGAGAGATATTAATATTTCACATCAGCTTTGATGGTGGAGAAAAATGGAGGCTAGAGAACTCTGAAATAAATATTGATGTTTTGAAAACACTTCACATTACAGAAGAGGAGGTGCTAGAGGTCTCCGAAAACAAAAGGTGGATAAATCTCTGGGACCTGATATAGTGTATCCCAGGACGTTACAGAAAGCTGAGGAGAAAATTGCAGGGACACATTTTTTGTAAGTTTTTGTAACATCCATATTTACATTGAAGGCGTGAAGTTGTTGTACATGCAAATACTTTAGAATGCATGGTTTGGAAATTGTATTCAAATCACCATAAATAGGAGCTACACTGATGTAATGCACAAGGGCAGTAAATTATGGGAGGGGAAGAATTCTGTATTTAGCCACACATCTGTGGCTATAGAAGTTTTTGCTTAAAAATTTCTTCGAGATAAGTCAAATGCTAAAAATTGACCAATATTTCACTTCAACCACAGGCAATTGCTCTGGCTGTCTCTGTTTAGGTAATAATTGCCCATAACTTCCAGGCCAAGACTAATTTAATGAGACAATGGCGACCATTAGCAATATTAGTCAAACAAAAAAATGAAGTCACAAATTAATTGTTTGCTAGATTGAATAATTTTACCATCTCCTTGGAATGTTGGTGAGATCATAACAAGACAGTGCAATTTTAAAGTATAGTAGAAGAAATAAATTGGATTTATGTAACCACTTGTGTTCTCCTACGCACTGACACCATCTACGTCAGATGTTTGCTCGTCTTACGAAGTAAAGGATTCCAGTTTCTTCGTATACCCTGTACTTTTGAAGGGACTCTAAAATGTTATGTATATATACATCCCTTCCATCTTACTGGAAGTACCCCAATGTTTCCACTTTCGCTTCCCTTTCCTAAGGGAGGTGATGGCCTAGTGATATTATGACTAGACTATTTATCCAGAGGACCAGGTAATGTTCTGGGGAGCTGGGTTTAAATCCTGCCATGGCTGTTGTTGGAATTTTAAATCCAGTAAAAATCTGGAATTAACAGTCTAATGATGACTTTGAAACTTTTGTCAATTGACCCATCTGAATGTCCTTTTTAGAGAAATAGACTTTTCCCTTACCTGCTCTGGCCTACATGACACCCCAGAACCACAGACCCGCAGCAATATGGTTGATCCAGACAGCAGTTAGAGACAAACATCAGATATTGGCTTAGCCAGTGATGCCCACATTCCATGTGTGAATTCAAAATAAAACCTTGGGAGAGCAATAAAATACAGCAAATGTGCAGTCAAGTCAGAAAACCCGAATAAGAATTTGTTTGTGCCTTCTCTATAACTTATCTGTAAAATAGTATGTTATAGAATCATAAGATCCTTACAATGCCGAAAGAGAGCATTCAGCCAATCTAGTCTGCACCAACCCTCCAAATAACATCTCACCCAGACCCAGCCCTGCACCCTATTCCCATAACCCTACATTTACCATGACTAATCCACCTACCTGCACATCCTTTGAACCGTGGGAGGAAACCTGAGCACTTGGCAGAAACCCACACAGATACAGAATGTACAAACTCCACACAATCATCCAAGGCTGCGATTGAACCCAGGTTTGTGGCATTGAGGCAGCACTAACCATTATGCCACTGTGCCGCCTTTGTAAAGAAGCATATTGAGTGAGAGCGGCTACAGTTGTAGGGTCACTTTGGTTCAGTGTTAATACTCTTGATGCCAAGTAAGATATTCAAGCCCTGAATATACTGCCCCATAATGGTACTGAGGAATGCCATGTATTTTTGTGCAAATCAGCCTGCAACTTACGCCAAAAAACAGATATTGTGCTGAATTTTTCAGTTCAGGTTTGAGAACCATTGCTGGACAGAAAGCAGGAGATGAGTCAATTCCATCAGATGTTGGGATCGTGGCATGGCACTTTGCTAGCAGTGGCCACCAACTAACAGGCTGCCACAAACCACCATCCATTTGAGAATGGCAGTCTCCCTACAAGGGTTACCAGAATAATCAAACTAGTCCTGCAGTGCCACCAATAATGGTGTGCAACTGGCTTCTTTACGCAAACTCACCAATCCTTCACACACCGAATTGATAAAATATATATAAGTAGATTCAATTTATTTGTCTACAAATTATGTAAATTATAATTAATTATGTATAAACACATAAAAAACATGCTTAATCTACAATTTTGACTACCATTATTCACAGCAATAGCTAGAACTAGCAGATGACTGGTCACATTCTGCTTTGCTTCCTTGTTCCTCAAAACATGAACATTATTCGCATCTTCCCTTAAAGTGATTTTACAACAGCCATTGTTGAGGCTGTAACATCAATGTGGCAGTGACTCAAGAAGCTTAGCTGAATTTTGGAGAAAAAGCCATTCAAGGCAGATAGGCCCTGTTGAGTGGGGCCGTGTGTTAGTGTCGTTGAGGTGCATTGGCAGCATCTTGGTGCTGGTACAGCTATTACCACTGGGGTGTCTCGTGAGATTTCCTCCTCAAAGTCTCCCTCCCAAAGCATCTTGCTGTGGGAGGCTCCCAGGGAGTATCTGATGTTTGTTTTTCCACACGGTGATTAAAACTTCTGAAAGTGGGCAAAATGTCTCTGTCTATGAACTGAGCCCCAGATGCCTTTTTGCCCCTTTATACCATTATACCATTATTAACTAAGTTCCAGCAAATTTGTGGGCAAAATTTTTTAAAACTTAAACAAAGACAAGCAAGCCTAACCAGTGGAGAACACCATAAGGTTCCCAGTTGCATAAAAATCTGGGCCATCATCTAGGTCACCACTTTAGAGCAGCACAGATGGTTTACTGTAACGTTGGTAGCACTGGTGACTCGTTAAACCAAGGACCCTGTAACTTCCAAAGTAAATAATTTTGAAATAAAAAAATTAATTTTGTTTTCACATTTTGAAATGATACAAAGTTGGACTTCCAGTTGAAGACCTCATTTATAAATTCTGGTTGAAATCAGTATGTTCAACCAGATTGTGTCAACCTGTGTTGAACAAATAATTTTCAATTGCAGTCAGTTTATTGTGAGATTCGTGACTAGGTATGTCTCCACAGGAAGGAACAGCATGATTTCCCTATCACTTCTCCAAATGATGTCACTAGAGCAGCAGTGGCAAAGGACTGGGAAAAATTGTGTGCATACCTTCTCAACTAGGTAGCAGGATGTGATTCAGTGGAAATTAAAACAAGGGAGACAATAATAGTGTATGGAGAACTGAAAAAGAAACACTTTAGAGCATAGTCCCTATGTTAAAATTCTGGTACCTTAATGTTGTGAATAGTTGAAGTCACTGTTTGCTATTAGATCTTATTTATATTTCAGGTCCTCAATATTTTGCAACAGCGTTAGATTGCTGTTGTAGGTGAGACTTTCTAATACATACTTTCACGTACTCTGCCATGTAAGGCTCATAGCTACCATGAAAAGAAACACAGAATGTTTTATTCATTACATTTCACTTGTTGCTTCTACTCTGCCTTCATTTAGATTCTTTTTATCTTCAAAAGGTTGCAGAATAACACATTACCTGAGACCTAACTTAATCTGCCAAGCAAATTTATTCAAACAGTTAACTGAATGTGATACCAGAAGTAACAAATCATAATCCATTAAATCTTCATTATAAACGGAATAAATAGTTTGTAAATTTTATGCAAAAACATACTGTACTTGAGTAGTTTTTAAAAATTCTTAGCAATTACAGAAATGATTTACATAGAGCAGTACAGCACAGGAACAGGCCCTTCAGCCCACGATGTTGTGCCGAACATGATGCCAAATGAAACTAATCCCTTCTGCTTGCCATTGGTCAATATCCCTCTATTCCTTGCATATTTGTGTGCTTATCTAAAAGTTCCTTAAATGCCACTATTGTATCTGCCTCCACCACCACCCCTGGCAGTGCACTTCAAACTGCTACCAATCTCTATGTGAAAACCTTGCCCCTCAGGTCTCCTTTGAACTTTTCCCCTCTAACCTTAAATACATGCCCTCTAGTATTAGACATTTCAACTCTGGGAAAAAGATTCTGACCGTCAACCTTATCTATGATCTGAGTTAATTAATTATCTTCAGTTTAAGACTGACTTATAAATTTGAAAAGGTCAGGCAGATAAAAACTTTCAAAATTATGGCAACACCAGTAGCAAACAGAAATATACCAACACAGGTACATTCAAATATATTCCCAGAAATTTTGCATTTCTAATTCAACCTTTCTCTTAGATTCTTATTTTCAAGTTTATTGATTGCAATAATATTGCAACATTGTTAGAAACTTAACTGGGGTATGATTTTTCTGACTGAAACTGGTTTTCAACACCATACAGAATTTGGAAAATTGAAGAAGCAAATAATAAACTACGTTTTGTCACAGTCTGCCTTCCCCAAAAGGTTATTTTCTAAAGTTTAAAAATCATAACTGTTGCTTTCTTTATTTGCTTTTAATTTGAACAGGTGGCCTTTCTTCAAGTCAGTTGGAAAATATTCCAGTTGAAGCTGATGAAGACTACTTTGAGGGACTGGTATGCGCTAATAGTCATTTGCTTAATAATATTGTAAGGATTCATGAGATCGGTATATCGACCGCATCCTTGTTTAAAGATCACGGGTTTGTATTTTCAGTTGAAAGGCTTACCATTGAAAAAATGATTTGCATTCCTCAGATGATTGTAATAATGTCTAAAATGCTGTGGAAGAAGATTCTATAATTGCAAATGGGAACAAATTATATACTTGAAGAAGAATTTGCGTGGTTCTGGGAAAAGAAAGGGGAAGTGAGACAGTTTAGATTGCACTTTCACACATGCTGGTATGGTATTAATGGAGAAGTGCAGTTAGAATCTGCTAAATATCACGTTACTTATTATCACATTACATTTCCAGGTTGCAATCAGCAAGCTTGAGAGGAAGGCTCGCTGGCTATTGGGTAGATAGGTACCGGGCTGTTGATTAGGGTGCACTGGAAGAGTCAGGTATTGGAAAGATTGAGGGGGGAGGGAAGAATATTGTAGAAGGGGCTGCAAAAATCAGGCAATGGACTGAAGAGTTCAGAAGAAGATTTGGAAGAAGATGGTGGAGTGGAGTGGAGAGTTTACAGAAGATCATTGCACAAGCTACAGTGATTGAGCAGGACAAGAGAAGATTGTGGGTACCGGAGAAATCTGGGGAAGAGAGGAAAAGATTTGGGAGACAAAGAGGAAATTGTATACAGTAGAGGAAATCAGTAAGACATCGGATCATGGAGTGTGAAGCTCAATTAATGGGGAATTGGTGGCTGAATGAAATGCTACTGGACTAAATCCAAAGACTCAGGCTAATGCTCTGGGAATGTGAATTCAAATGCAGTATGGCAACAGAATTTAATTTTGATTGATAAAGTCTAAAATTGACTGTCAGAAAACCCACTTAGTTCACTAAAGTCCTTTTTACAGAAGGAAATCAGCAGTCCTTACCTGGTCTAATCTGTGTGACGCTAGATCCTTGGAACTATGGTTGACTGTTAACAGTCCTCTCAAATGGCCTAGCAAGCCATTCGGTTCAAGTCAGTTACGGATGGACAATAGATGCTGACTTGACAGCGATACCAACATTCCAAGAAAGTAAATTTTAAAAATGCTAGTCTTGCTATGAATGCATAAATCCCAGGAATCAATTCTGATGACCTAAGAAAGAAATTATACTTCCAGGATGCCTTTCATGTTCCAAAGTGCTTTTACAATTTTTTTCTTGATTTGTGGGTGTCAATGGCTGGGCAACAATTATTGCCCATCTCTAGTTACTATTCAGAAAGTTGTGGTGTGGTGTCTTTTTGGATTGCTGCAGTCCATTTGGTGTAGGTAGATCTCAGTGCTGATGGGAAGGCTTTTGTTCCAAGGTCGCTGAGGGGATGGCAATATGTTTCCAAGTTCACATGGTGAGTGGCTTGGAGGGGAACCTGAGGGTGGTAGTGTTCTCGCGTGTTTTGCTTTCTTGTCCTTCTCGGTGGTAGTGGCTGTAGATTTGGGAGGTGCTGACTAAGAAGCCTCGGAATTTCTGCATTGCATATTGTAGATGGTACATGCTGCTGCTACTATGTTTCGGTGGTGGAGGGAATGAATATGGTGCCAGTCAAGTGGGTTGCTTTGTTCTGAATAGTGTCGAGCTTGTTGAGGGTTATTGGGGCTGCACTCATCCAGGCAAATAGGGAGTATTCTATTATAGTCCTGGCTCGTGCGTTGTAGATGGTGGACAGGCTGTGGGGAGTCAGGAGATGAGTTACTCACTGCAGAATTCTTAGCCTCTGTTACTTGCTACTTGTCAGCCCAAACCTTCATATCGTCCAGAACTTGCTAAGTTCCACATGGACTGCTTCATTATTTTGAGTCTCAAATATTACATGATGTTCAACACCAATTGTTCAATCAATAGCAAATGTTCCTACTACATCCACAATGGAGGGAATGTCATTGCTGCTGCAACTAGAGATGGTTGGGCCAAGGACACTACCCTGAGGAATGTCTGCACAGATGTACCAATAGCTGAGATGCCTTCCAACAAACACAACCACAAACATTTGTCCTTCATGCTAATTAAGACTCCAACCAGTGGAATGATTTCCACCCACCCCCCTCCCCCTCCCCCTCCCCCTCCACCTCCCAATTACCATTGACTCTTTTTTGCTAGCGCTCATTTATGCCACACTCTGTCAAATGTAGCCTTGATGTCCTGGTAAGTCATGGTCACTTCACCTCTGGAATTCAGACATTTTTTTTCCCATGTTTGAATAAAGGCTCCAATGAAGTCAGGAGCTGAGTGGACCTGTTAGAACGCAAACTGAGTGCCACTAGGCTGATATCTTCCAACACTTTCCTGATTATTTTGAGTTGACTGTTGGGGTGGTAATTGACCAGGTTGGATTTGTGTCTCTTTTTTTTAATGAGGTGTGTGGTTTGTGTAGTGGACATGCCTGGGTAACTTTCCATATTTTTGGGTAGAGGCCAGTGTTGTAGTTGTACTGGAACAGCTTAGCTAGGGGCACAAGACGTTTTGGAGCATGTCTTCAGTACTGTTGCCAGAATGTTGTTAGGGATGATTTCCTTTGCAGTATCCAATGCCTTTAGCTGGTTTTTGATGCGACGTGAAGTGAATCATAATGGCCGGAGACTGGCATGAGTGCTGGGATCTCTGCAGAAGGCTGATGGATCATTCACTTGGTGTATCTGGCTGAAGATTGTTGTAAATGCTTGTGTCTTATTTGCACTGATAAGTTGGGCTCACCCATCATTGAGGATGGTGATATTTGTGGAGCTGCTGCCTCCTGTGAGTTAATTTTCCACCACCATTCACAACTGGATGTGGCTGGACTGCAAGGCTTGGATCTGATCTGTTGGTTGTGAAACTGCTTATTTTTGTCTGTCAGGCTCTTTATGCTGTTTGGCAAGCAAATTGTCCTATTGTGGCTAGTGGCTTCACATTGATGCCTTATTTCTAAATATGCCTAGTGCTGCTCCTGGCATGCCCTCCTGCACTCTTTTGTAGAAATAGTGTCGATCCTCTGGCTTTACCTGTGACCTCCTAGCCTGGCATATCCCCACTCTACCATTACAATAATGTTGGGAGTACAATTCTGCTGACAGCCCACCCCCACGGATGCCCAGTCTTGAGTTCCTAGATCTGTTTGAACTCAATCCCATTTAGCACAGTGATAATGCTACACTACACAATGGAGGTTCTTTTTCAATATGAAGACTTTTTATTCCACATGAGTTTTACGGTGGTCAATCTTACCTATTAGCACCATGGACAAATGCATCTAAGGCAGACAGATAGATGAGGTAAAGTATGTTTTTCCCACTTGTCGCTTCCCTCAAAACCTACCATAGACCTAGTTTAGTAGCTATCAGCAGGAAGCTTCCTTGCTCATGTTTTACCTAATGTCGTGAGACTTTATTACATTTGAAATCTTGAACGTTCTAATGCCTAGAAACAAAGCAACCATGCAAGCAGCAAGGCCCCATAATTATTAATGAGAACCATTTTGTTTTGAGTGATGTTGAATGGAGGATAGATAATGGGCAAGGCATTAAGTCTAAAGATGTGCATGTTAGGTGGATTGACTGTGCTAAATTGCCCATAATGTCCAGGGATGTGTAGGCTAGGTGGATAAGCCATGGGAAATGCAGGGATTTGGTGGGGGTGAGTGGTGTTTAGGATAGAATGCTCTTCAGAGGGTCAGTGTGAACTCAATGGGCTGAGTGGCCTGTTTCCACACTGTATAGGGATTCTGTTCTATGGAAACAGCAGTGAGTGATTAAGTCTGGAATGCACTACAGGTTAATGACCGGTTTGATGCAACCATTCAAAGTTGAATTAGACTATTAACTTTAAAAGGAAGAATGTGCAGGGTTACAGCAAGATGGTGGGGAAAATGGCATTACATGAATTGCTTATTTGAATCACCAATGCAGACATAATAGGCCAAATGGCTGCCTACTGGATTGCAACAATGCTGTGAAATGCTCTGGATTTCAAATAGCTGCAAAGGATCTTTTATGTGCATCTGAATGGACTGATAGGATCTCGATTTAGTGTCTCATCTAAATGTAAATCTAGGCTTATAAACAAAATGACTTTCTGTATAGGGTACTGGAGAAGATGTTATTGTATATCTGCGTCATGATGGTCTAATCAAGAATGTGAATTTAGCCAAGGAAAGCATAACGAAAGTTCTTAAGGAAATCTGGAAAGAAAAGATGGCAGCAGATCTCCAGGTATGTATATTCTACAGAATCACAACATTGACATTTTCAGATGATATTGACTTCCTACAAAAGAGGTAATTTGTATTTAAAAGGTTAGCAACAGAATCCTTTTTGGAATTTTTTTTTTGGAAAAATTTCAACAATGCAATAAATAAGGAAAGCAGTCAAATATTAACAACTCCTCAATTGAGTTGAAGTTTATATACTCGTACATGCTAGAGCTGGCAAGTCTCTGTTTCATATGTCATGCATTTGAGACTGACTTGTGTTTTGCAAAATACTAGCGTTTCTAAATTGCACAAATAATATAAACTCCAACCCAGTATCAGTGTCAGAAAGTAGTGTAAAATGTATGTCTCCAATTTTTCTACTTGTGCTAAGCTTAATGTCCCCCAACTATGAACCTATTCTTTGATATATCGTGTATCTTCAAGGATTATCTGCCTATTGCACTTAACAATCATTTTAAGTTATTCCAATGGTTTGGCAAGTCTCAGTGAACATATGAAATGCAGCTAGGGAGATTGCAGGCTCAATCTAAGTTTCTAATGTATTAGCTGATTCTGGCTAAAATGTTTGTGTTGGTGTTGTTTCCCAATGCCTACTGCTGGTAGTAAATACAGCCACCAATGTTCTGATGTAACCTAAACACTGAGTATACTGAAGTATGCCTGCGAAAATCCTACAATTGGAAATGGCCTGGACTAGGAAGAAAAAAATAAATGGCTAGAAATCCCATTCATATTTGCTGTTCAGTGGCAATAAACATGATGGAAAGTGAGTTGGGACAAAGTAGAAGTTATCTATGACATCCCCCATCAATCAACATCCAGCGTTTAGACTCTCACCTAAATCACAGAGTAGTGAAAAATAATAGAATTGAGCTGATTTTTTTTTAAATGCTTTGTTATATTTTCTTGTGCTTGTATAACACCTCTTAACCAATTTCCTGAAGACCTGTAATAATTGTGCAACAGAGAGAAACTTCCATGAAACAAAAGAATTTATTTTGCATCTCCTGATACTGCTGACATAATTATGCCTAATATAGAGCATCACGTTTCTATGAAGAAATTTGTTTAAACAAAATCTAATTATTGTTTTTCCACAAAACAGAGTGGAACGAGGTCTAGCCTTCCTGAGTTTTTCTATAACTTCCTCCAGAAGAAGTATGGAAACTCTGCCCTGCTTTGGGCCTACAACATTTATTATGGCTGCAGAAACCATCAGAAGGATGAATTCATCAGTTTGTTTTTCAGTATTCTTAATGGAATTGTGAGTTTTGGCCTTCTCTTATTCAACAGAGTTAACAGAATTTCAAAAGTATTTATATAAGTTAAAGGATTTTTTTGTTATCCTCCCATTAATGACTTGATACTGTCATTGTTTCACTGTCTGCAGTTGTTCACATCATAGTATCTACACAGCATGCCATAGGAGTGGTGGGAAGTAGTATTGATTTCCCCTAAATTCCTGGATTTGTACTGTTAGCTATACTGCTGTGGAGGTGCTGAGGTAAAGCCAAGTGTTTCTTTACAACCAGAGAATATTTTAAGGAATTTTGGCAACATGCACTTTCTTTTAATCAGTCAAACATGACGTTTGTGTTAGCATTGGAATGCCAATGATCATTTTAACAGCACAAAAGACTATTGTCATGAATAAGGATTATTGTTTCATTTATTGGATTAGTTAAATCTGAGACGAGGAGTTGTGATTGTTTGGATGGTTGTGAATCTTTGAAATTCTCTGTTCCAAAGGGTTTCAGATACTCAGTTTTTCAGTACTTTAAAGGTTGAGGTTTTTGGACTCTAGGGATATTGGGATGGGAAGAACGTGGAATTGAAATCAAAGAACAGCCATAAACTTCTGGAATAGCAGCATAGTGTTGCAGCGCTATAGGCATATTCTTACATCCACTTCTTGTGCCATTTGAACAAAGAGGGTTATTTCTTAGGATCAGAAGCTCAAAAGGATGCCTTCATCATTTCCGGCACTGGATCTTAAGGTTATAGACACCGAGAAACAGCACTTTGTTCCTCAGCCACAAGCACCAACCCAATTTTCTTATAAAACTATTAATAGAATCAGATTCCACAGAGCTTTCCAGATCCCATCATTGAGTAAAATAAATATTATTTTTTTCTCCTGTTTGGATCTGTTAATGATCTTTAATCAATGGCCTCTGATTATTGACCCCCCTTGCAGTAGGGATGTTTTACTCCATCTTCTTGATCAAAACATTTCATCATGCTAAAAACCTCCTTGTGCTATAATTGTTAACAATTTTTGTGGTAAGTTTTTAAATGTGAAATTAATAAATAAATGGAGCAACTTTGTCAAACTCATGGTGCAACAGAGTGAGAGATGCACTTTTATGATACTGGATGCAGTCTGAGCCCACTACGAATGAGGATTCACAATTTACAGTGTGTCTTTTCCCCCCACCCCCCCAAGTTGCTAATGGATTTTAACATGAAGGATGCAAAAAATGTAATTAGAGTTTTCTTTCTGATAGAACACGTTATCAGTATATTTCCAAGCCTAATGAGAAAGCAAAGTAACAAATTCATGCTTCACTACTCTCCACTGCAAGGAGACAGAACTTCAGTAATGCTTTTATAATTCCCTATCTAGCTAGTTCCTCATTACAGCTATCATTGCAAAGAGGAGCCTTATGAAAGTAGGATACAAGAAAGAGTCACTTTTAACTATTGATCAAGATTTGAGGCATAATTTGGAAGAAATAATATGTAGTTAAAATATTCTAGCATTCTGTCTAATTGGACTTACGGTCTAAATTACTTTTATAGATGGATGAAAGTGTATATCACGGGCAGATTCAACATATTGCACATGTGCTGAAAGAACTGAACCATCATGACACATCTGGAAAAGGGATCCTTTCTAAACAGGAGTTCAGGTCAGCATTCTTAAAACTTGCATTTAGATTGCCCAGGGAAATAAAGTGCCTTCCAAATGAGTAGTGCAATAAATGGGGTTAGAGAACACGTACATCCCTGACTAGGTGCATGGCTCTGAGTCTCAAAGATTATGGGCTTTAAACTTACCTGCCTTCTCGAAGTTGATGCATTTAATCCCGTGGAGTACAGACACAAAGCATACTAATGCAAAGTAACTTCCTTTCAGGAGAAGGGAACCATTTGTGTGTGTGTGTGTGTAAATTTTATTGAGCATTGATAGTTACAGTTAAGCCAATACTTTTCTTATTTTGTCTGTATTTAAATTAGTATCTGAATAAAGAGTGTTTTGTTTCAAGCCTGGTAGTTTGACCAACCAAATTGCATCTGGAACACAACACCTTACATTCACCTTTAAAATAAGAAAAGGTTAGGGTCTAGGCTACCCTTGTAATAATATTTTGAAGGGTTTTGGTCTGGTCCATAACAACAATATTCAAGACTATAGTCCTCGTGTAGATTTAGTATTTTTTGTTGGTGCAGATTTGATGGGCTGAAGGCCTTTCTGCATTTTGTCTTTTGATGCATTTCTGCCTGTTCCATGATTTGATAATAGATGATGAATGGCCATAGAGGTGGGTCTTTGTTTCTGTTTTTGTTTGTTTGTTTGACTGTTTTGAGTCAGGAACTAGAGACTCTGCTGAGCCAAAGCTGTTGAGTAAGACTACCTTTTACCTTTGTTTGATATTCTAGTTATTTACACTCTTAACACAAGGCTGTGCATAGAATCTGAGGTGAAATGATCCTAGCATGCGATCTCTTACATTACTGTTGATGTCGGCTGACCATTTACTTTTTTTTTGATTGTTACAAGAGAAAATAAATAGTTTTGATTTTCTTGTCTTCTGTGAAAAGATTCTTTTTCTTTGAAACAGGATTTGACGTTTTCCTTACACCCTGTTTGTGAAACACAATGTTTTAAAATGACTCGCAACAAACAGGCTTCAGGCTTAAATCAGAAATATAGCTTATTCATGCATTGAAACTTGGGGGGGGGATGATTGTCACAATACGCATGTGTGCATTCATACAAGAAAACAAAGGAATCAGTTTACAGTTAAGATTAACATTAAAACCAAAAATATGAATTTTAATGCATATGATCATCAGAGTCCAGATAGTTAATCACCAGTGAAAGATCTTTCCTATTGGAACTCAGATTCAGACAGGATTATACGAGCCAAGGCAGAATTCCTTTTTTAAGTTGACAAAGGCACAGTAACAAGAGACTTAATCCACTATTCAGTCAAACAAAATTTATTCAGAACTGGGTTAAGGGTGGTCTTGAGAGAGAAAGAGATTATCAGTCTACATTGTTTTACCAGATGGTTAGATTCTTAGCAGATCAAGGGAAGGCTTCAAAAAGGTATGCTTGAACTGTTTCAATGAGTAATAGTGATCATTGTGATGAGCCCATTAAGGAGTCAGCTTCAACTAATCAATCTGTTTCTATCTGATAGCCAAAGATCCATTATTCACTTTCGGAGATGGCTGAGTTTAACCATTGTTTGTTGTTTGAGATAGATGGGGACTGTTAGTGCTTTTACAGGTGTTCAGTTTTTGTAGCTCTATGCTACCCTCTCCGGCTGGGGAGTCACCTGCCTTTGAACTCCTAGCCTCTGACGTGTTGTAGTTATTGTCTTGATAGGGCCAGCCCACTTAAATTTCTGTCCAATAATAAGCTGCAGTGTTGTTAGTGGAGATTTGATGATAGTAATGTGACTGAATGCCAAGGGGAATGTTTAAATTCTCTCGTAGATGGTAACTGCTCAGCCCTTGTAATTTTTTTTTTGTAGTGGTAGATACCATTTGCACAAAACAGCGCCTCTCAAATGTTTGAACAACAGGTGAAACTGTATAAATCCTGGAGGGAAATGGACACCTACAACTTTCCACTGCATCTTTATATCCTGATGGATGGAGCTTTAATTTAAAAATTGAAAATTCTTTCTTACAGTCAAACTTTGAAGAAAGCCCTCCCTAATAAGAATGAAAAATACATAGAAGAGCTGATTGCTGCTGCAACATCCCAACTTGGAGATGACAATAAAATTAAATACAGTACCTTATTTGAAGAGGTAATGTTTTAAAAAAATCTATTGTAACTTGGCCAATGTTTTGGATAATGAATATCTTGCACATATTCAAGAATAACCAAACAGGTAGGCTGGTGTCATCTAGGCAAGGGTTCTCTCTACAACCAGTTTAGAGAATGTCCCTCCTCCCAATGATGCACTGCAGTGCATAGGTCCACACCTCAAATTTTTCAACTTCATTGGTTAGGAAGCCTATCCCACCATTCGATAGGGTCCCAGTTGCCTTTTGTTATCAAATCTCACATCTCTCAAGTTTTGCCACAAATTATATTCTAGCTGAGCAGTGCAGGCTAACTATTTTAAATCCCAATCTGAAGACATTAAATATTGTTAAGAACAAAACTAATCATGTCAGTTCCTGAGAAACTAAGAAGACCAAAAATTATAATCACAAAAGAAGTGATGCTGTTTCGTATTACCTTGTATGTAGATTTTCACCAGTAAACCAACATTCTTAACGAAAAAAAAACACTAACACTCATCACATTTAGAAGTATGGATTCTTATTTTATTTCTTTTGGTGCTCTACAGAATGCAGAAGGCACAGCAGGAGCTTTTCTTGCATTGCTGCAAAGTCAATACACAGCAGAGAAAACGATGTACCTTGATGAATTAAGAAATGCATTGGAAGAGAAAGAGTAAGCGACAAACTATTATTGATCTTATTCCAATAGAACAGGCAGATCTCTATGCTGTAAGACACTGGGTGATTGGCTGTAAGGTGCACAAATTGAGGCATTCTGTTCATGTCAGGCTTGACTTTCATGTAGTTACAAATCTCAAGTTATTTCTGCTTTAAAACAATGGTCAGTTGTACCTGTAGTGGGATACTTTAAGTAATATTCCTTTACAACTTGGTGTCAAATCACATGGTATTATGTGGCATCATGAAGCAACTTTTGTTACTGGGTTTGAGTGCAGCAGATTACTGGGAAACAAACTACAGATATCTTCTGGCTATTACGGTAACTACTAGGGCTCGTTAAAAACAGTTTCAAATTTAATCAGAAGTAATTTTTTAGGTGAAGTTTTTGTAATAATTCATTTTACTTTAAAATGAAGGTAAGATACCATAAATCAATACAATTATGTTTGGAACTTTGACACACTACACAAAAATATTGTCTTTAAAAGGTGTAATAAAGGCAACAACACAAAAAAAAGGATAAATCCAGCTACCCCCAAACCATACAAACCTAATTTCGTGCCCCAGCTGAGAAATGAAGCAGTTCAAAGTAGCACTCATTAGTTTAATCCTTGTGCTAGTGTGCACAATAATGCACAATATAATCACATATGACCATGGGGAAAAAACAGAGTGTTGGATATTAACCAGCACAGAGAAACCAGCCAACAGTTTAAAAATAAGTAGTATTTCCTTCATTATTAGCCACCAAACCACTTACTAACGTAGGTCTGCAATAAATTTTCTCCAGTTCACACTCAAAACAATTGGCAAGAATCTGACAGTCAAACCAGTTTATGAAAATTAAAAGTACACAACTTCCCCTCAGACCATTTAAACAAGACATTTCTAATATCTTGCAATTTGAGTGAGAAAATACTCTTGAATGGCAATTTTTATAATACGACCTTTTTAAGCAAGTGAACATCGTTTTGTTGAAGTAAAGCCTGAGGATTCAGAGGGACAATGTTGTGAAGTTGTGTACTGAATAGATAGATTCTCACAAATTCAATTTGCATTGTAACCTGGAAAATATTCTCAGTTGTGGCTTTTCAATGAGTAGTTTTTTTTTTAGCTTTGAGAAAATCAGAGAAATAAATATCCTTCACAATGAAGGGGGTATATGACGATAAGAAATCTGGCAGCAGAATTCTAGAAAGGATGTGAAGCCTTTGAGAATGCAGTAAAGATTGACAATATAGTTTCCAAGCATCAGTTTTTGGTGGATAGACTGGAGAATCTACAGTGACTGTTCCTAGAGAAGTGAGAAGAGCTCTGATAAAGATGCTGAAAATCATGAGGGATCCAGATAGTATTCACCAAAGAGAGGGACCAGAGGGATGTTGAGGTTAGGGAAAGGTGTGAATACTCTTGGGTAGGTCAACGTAAAGAAGGAGGAAGCATTGGGTGTCTTGAAATGGATTAAGATAGACAAGTCACCAGGGCCAGACGGGATCTATCCCAGGATACTGTGGAAGACAAGGGAAGAGAAAGCTCGGGTCTTAACGGATATCTTTGTATCCTCTTTGACCTCAGGCAAGGTTGCAGAGGACTGGAAAGTGATCAATGCTGTTCCTTTGTTTAAGAAGGGAAATAGAGAAAATCCAGGTAATTACAAGCTGGTGAGCCTGATGTCAGTGGTGGGGAAGTTGTTTGAGAAGACACTCAGAGACAGGATTTATACACATTTGGAAGTTTGAGTTTTTGGAAGAGGTGACAAGAATGATTGAGGGAAGGGCGGTGCATGTTGTCTACATGGACTCTCATAAGACACTTGATAAGGTACCTCATGGTAGGCTGGTACAGAAGGTAGAGTCTTGGGGATCCAGGGTGAGCTGGCTGGATCGATATAAAACTGGCTTGGTCATAGAAGACAAAGTAGTGGTGGAAGAGTGATTTTTGGAATGGAGATCAGTAACTAGTGGTAATCAGCAGGAATCAGTGCTGGCATCTTTTTTGTTCTTACAATATAGATGATCTGGAGGAAAATGTAGATAGTCTGATTAGTAAATTTGTGAAGATGCAGATAGGGAGGATTGTCAAAGGACACCACAGGATATAAATTGCAGATATGGGCTGAGAAAATGGCAGATGGGGTTTAATCCACACAAATGTGAAGTGATGCATTTGGAAGATCAAATTCGGGTGCATACACGTCCACAGATCCCTGGAAGTGGCAACACAGGTGGATAAGGTGGTCAAGAAGGTATACAGCATGCTTGCCTTCATTGGCCGAGGCATCGAAACTTGCCAACGTTTAGTTAGGCCACATTTGGAATACTGCATGCAGTTCTGGTCACCACAATACCAAAAGGACATGGATGCTTTGAAGAGAGTGCAGAGAAGGTTGCCTGGTCTGAAGGGTTTTAATTATGGGGAGAAGTTGGGTAAACTCAGATTGTTTTCGTTGGAAAATCAGAGACTGACGTCTACAAGATTTGAGAGGCATAGATAGGGTGGACAGTCAGAGGCTTTTTCCCAGGAAAGAAAACTCAACTATAAGAGAGCACAGGTTCAAGGTGAGGGGGGGAAAGTTTTTTTGGGGTGAAAAATGTGGGAAAAACTTTTCAGAGGGTGGTGGCTGCCTGGAACACATTGCCAGTGAAGGTGGTGAAAGCAGCACGTTTGGAATGTTTTAATACATATCTTGATAGACACGAGTGGGAGGCGACCAGAGGGATCGGAACCATGGATGGGCAATAAGTAACGGGTTTAAATAAGGAATAGGAATCAACGCAGGTTTGGTGGGCCGAAGGGCCCGTTCCTATGCTGTATTGTATAGAGCAAAACTGTAACCCTTGACAGATGGGTCAAGAACGAGAAACCACAGGTTTAAAAAGTTTGACAGCAGATCTAAAGGCAACACGAGAAATCTCTTGTGTTGAATGTTTAAAATTTGGCTTTAAAGATTGGAAAAATCGATTTTGGACTTAAAAAAGGTAATTGGATTAGTGACAGGAACACATTTCCTGCTCAAGGTTTTTAAGACTTGTAGCTCAGGCTGTTGACCCACTCACCAAACCATTAAGTTTGTTCGGATTATGCAAACAAGCTTACCAGCTTAGCGAGCACGTCAACAACAGAAACATTTCCTGTACCGTACCAGGACTCAAAGTACATGGGAGTAGCTGGCAAATTGGCCCATACAAGCCATTAAACTACCTGGGAAAATTCGATCATGCAGCAACCAGAAAAGCCATCCCCTTTAGTAGAATGGGCAGAAAATCTGAGGAAGAAAGCTGTAAGTGAAAGGTGTTGGAAGATGAAGATTGCAAGTGTGGGGAGGATGGAAGAGGCTGTAAATGAGAACAGTTTTAAACTTGTCAACCAAGGAATATGCAGCTAACTCAGCCAGAAAAACTGAAATTGCTGAGGTAGTGAATTCCTTGAAAATCAATATGAAATCTCTAGCTTAAGGGTAAAAATGTTTAAGAGCAACTGGGGGGGGTGGAAATATAGTGGATACATAATTCTTAATTTAAATGTAATAATTAATAAAAGATGCAATAAAAATGGTCCTAACTGCCTGGTTTAAAGTAATCTAACTTTGTCATCTGCAATGAAAATAGCTGTGATGTCATCAGCTTACAGAAGGCGTGTTTAGGGTATTGGCTTTTCTCATTATATAGATGTCAGTTATTTTGCTTATTGTCCTGCACCAAACTGTGGTGTCAAATTGAACCTTTGCTGTAAATTGTGGTTTTAAGTCTAATGGAAAATTAAAAATTCTGCTTCTGTGATTTCAAATAGCCCATATGTAAACTCAAACAGAGAAGGTATTGTTATTAGAAGACCTTGTATATGAATTAGTGTGAATGAAAAAGTAGCCCATAAGAAAATCTCAAGAGCAGCCCTTAGGAAACAAAATTATTTTGATCCCTGGGTTACAGGAACATGGCTAAGCGTTTCAGACAGCATAGACTTGATTGGCTGCAATATCCATTTTATGCTGTAACTATTCCATGATTCATTTGAATGAACATGCTTCTATCATTTCTCCCTAAAAACAAAACTTAAATCTTGTGATCTTAATGGTCTTTTGAGATGTAGTCAACAAATAAAACTGCATTAATTTTGCAAAGTATGACTGCAAGTCAATTATTACTGTTTTTCATTCAGAGCAGCATCTTATGATAAATATTTTAAAAAATCAAGTCAGCTTCAGCACATTTTCCAATATAAGTGGAAGTCAAGTTTAAAGGACCATAATATAAACAAGTGATTTTACTAATATATAAAACTAGAAAGATGCAATGTTGAGTATTGCACTATATCCTGAAGTTCTGTTGATATTAAGTACACAAAATAAACCTGATCATTTTTTATGTAAATATGAAAATGTTGCTTCATCCTGTTCTGAAATGTTGATGAAGAACAGCTCAAGGAAAATCAAATATCCATTGATCTAAATTAGTACATTTTTCTTATCTCCTCCCTAACATAAAGCTAAGATTCCATCTTGCACCTTAAGCACTCCTTATTTAAATGCTCTGTAGAAGACACTGTTGTAATTGCAAGTATTCTCATTGCAGTCAAACTTGCATTTAATCATGTGATGCCCACAAAGAATACATAATTTGTTAGACTATTGTGACTTTAGGAAATAGTTTTTTTAAAACGTTTTTCCTTTTATCCACAGGGAGCTGACAGTAGCTGACCTAAAAAAGGCTTTTCAAAAAATTGATCCATCAATGGATCCACAGACCTTGGCCACATATTTAGCTCAAGGTTTCCAAACAACAAAGGAACAGCTTGATCAATCTACTGCTGTGGATACTGACACTGTTCTAGATCGATTACAAGCAAGTGACATAAAGAGAGTAGGACCTTGGAAGTAGTACAAAACTTGGAGTTCTGATGAGGACGGCCTTACATATGTTAATATTTTAAAAGTAAACTACATTATGACTGTTCACTTTGAACAGAGTCACTGTTCTTTAATTTAAAAAAATATTAGACTACTGTTTTCTTGTTCTTTTGAGCTCCACAGCTAAGGTCTATTCTAATGTTTATTGATAGAAAAAGTGCTAAAGTTGATACAATAAAAAGGATGTATATATTACTCGGTACTCTTTTAAAAACATTCATGCATGGGATGTGGGCTTCTCAGGCTGGGTCAGCATTTATTACCCATCCCTAGTTGGCCATAATAAGCTGGTGGTGAACTGCCTTACTACTCATATTATTACTACTACTACTTTAAAACTTTATTTTAAAAAATGTACTGTATCTAAGGGAGATGCTAAATGAAATTGTTAATACAAGTTCGGTAGTTTCTAATAACATAATGAACTCAAATATTAGTATTTAAGATAAGCAGCTCCAATATTAAAAATGATAGAAGTCAGAGACTTCTATCATTTTCTTCAATCTTAAGGTGCACGTCCCTGGGTATTGCAACTGTCTACTAACTTACCTAAGTGCATTTCTCATGCATGAGTCTAAACAGTCATGACCAGCAGGCTGCTAAATTGTGGCATAAAAATGTTTGTTTTGACCGACTTCATTTGTGGTGATATTCCCTTACCCAGTTCAGCCTTATCCAGTATTTCCACTGGATAAAATTGGTCAGCTCACCACACATCAGAAACAGCTATTTTGATGTTATAATACCATATATGGCACTTACTCATTGCAGCATTGAAAATGTCTCCGGTTTGCCTCAAACTAAAAAAAAAAGTAGAACAAACACCTTGTTAAGTCTCAAGAGAACGGAACACAAAAAGCCTGCTACTGGAAATTCTGTCTCTTGTTTACAACAAATTATAATGAATCAGCCCAATTAGAATAATTATTTTGACTAATCCTTAAATCTTAGAGGTTTCACAACTGATACGCTTAATGCAAAGAAAGTTAGCTTGAGATTCAGTTTTCAGGTTGACATCTTTATTGTGCATTTCACAGAATCATTAACCTTATCATAAAAGACTTTTTTTAAGCATGCTATGGAATATTTCAAACAAGCGTTTGATCAGATGTACAAGTTATTAGAGTGCGTACTAAGAATAATGAAATACAACGGATGCTTCAGGGAAATCGCAAATGACAGTCAAGATTCAACTTACCATTATTTTCCATACTTCAAAAAAGTTAAATTCTGCTTAGTTAAATGTACCTATTTTTCTTGGTTTGCTATTTGAGGTTACACAGGAACTTCTAGCAGACTTGAGCAGTTATTGGGTTCAACACGAGTAATGGGAAATCAAATATTACTTTCAAGTAGAAGGGTTAACTCAATTGTGATTTAAAGTTTTAGTGAAACAGATGCACACTTTCCTTAACTAATTTTACAACATTTTTTATATAAAATGTACAACATTCTTCGTAAAAGTTCTCAAATTTTGGTCATGGAAGGCAAGCCAATGGCAAACCAAAATCTAGATTTTCTACTTTAAGGTAGTGCCTATCTATGTTTATTATAAGGAAGTAATATGTTAATGCAAAACATTAATGAGAAAAATTGCTTGTGCTGCAAGTTACATGTACATCAACATCTTTAAATTAAAATATACTTTCCTTTCAACGTCAGACCTATGTTTCTCCACATTTTAAGTTTGTACGGATAGTCTAGACCTGCTTCCTAGTAAATATAAGTCCTGAACACAATTTGCCAGTTTTGTGAAGTTGTGCACATCTCAAATCAAGGAAACTTAGGTAGGTGAAGTATGGAGTTGAGGGTAATATATGCTATTTGGCTGATTTAGTGAGGAGATTACTTTGTAGATCATTGTAAAATATCTAACCTAGGAGTACACATTGTCATTTAATGCCAAAGTGCTAGTATCAAATGCTCCTATTTTGACGAGAAAGTGTGTTCAGAATCTCTTAGCAAGGTTTCCATCTGAGCGTTGAGCTTTTACATCTTGTCATTTCTATTCAAGATAAAAACAAAAAAGTCTTTAAAAATTAATGCATGTATTCATAAGCATACAGATTTCTTAACATTTGCAAGAGGCAAGTTGATATTATGAATAATCATGATTAGTAAACAGATCTGTAATTATTTAGCACAGAAGGGAAGCTATTGATCTGTTATGTCAAAGCTTGCTTTCTACAGATCAATCCAATCAGTTCTATTCCCCCATACACTCTCTAGTCCTACAAGTTTAGTTCCTTTAAGTGTCCATCCAGTTTGCAACTGAAATCACTGATTGTTCCTGTTTCTGTCATTCAGTAGATAGTAAATTACGCATCATTCCCACTCACTGCTTGAAAAAATTCCTCATGTTCCTTCTGTTTCCTATCAAGAACCTTTTCTTAGTCCTTGAACAATGATCAGATAAATGGGAATTTTTTAAACTCTATTGTATATCTCAATCTCATCAGCTCCAAGGAGGACAGAGCCAGCTTCTCCTCCCTGATCTTACAGCTAAAATTCCCTCACCTTTGGGACCATTCTGGTAAATTTTCTCACGTGCTCAACAACCTTCATGTTCTTCCCAAAGTCAGTTCTGGACATCAGACAATATTTGCAGCCTAACCAGAACTTTTTATAAAGGTTCAGCTTTTCTACTCAATACCCCTATTTATGAAGTCCAAGATTTCATTGCTTTGCAAACTGCTTTCTCATTATGTCTTGCCACCTTCAAGGAAGGCAGCACATTAAAAATCCCAAGATTCTTTATTCATGTGCACTTTTAAAATTGTGCTACTATGTCCATGTTTCTACCTGTCCCTCCTGCCAAACACACCACTTCACTTCTCTCTGTTAAATTCCATCCACTGCTTTTCTGTTAATTCTACTATCCTACATCCAGATCTTATTTCCTGATTCTCAATTTCATCAACTATGTTTAATGTGGTGCTTTGTCAAATGCTTTAGATCCGTACGGACAACATCCATTGCATTCCCTTAATCAAAAATGAATTAGGTTAGTTAAGAACATTAGCTTTAAAGTTGATAGAATCCATAGATTAAATCTAATGCTACCATAGAATGTTTTCCTCAGCAGAGAGATCCTACAAATCAGCTCATGAAAGTCTATAAGAATGGCAATAAACCTTTACATTAGGGCTTCGTTAAAAGAAAAACATCTCCACTTACGTAGAACTCTAATTTCTGACCTGGCAAGTATAAACAATAGATGTGATGAGTCACCAACACTTTTCTACATACATGGTTGTTACTTCTTGGGAATTATCTTACTCCCGCTGACAGCCATTGGAATTAGTTTTTCTCTGCATTCCATAGATAGGTGGCGTTCTATCAGTACATTCAAGGGCGTCCTTGCAGTCACAAATCCTTGCCTAAGAAACAGAAAACAAAATAATTCAACAATAGTTTTAACACACAGATCTGTTTTGTTTACTCCAATCCACTTAGAATTTATCCTTTCTTCTACAAATCATTAAAAAAAACAAATTCCTTTTGCAAAACAGAAGGAAGGAACATGCATTTCTTAAATTCATTATTCACAAAATACATTCTCAGCTGTCCTGTTGGCATCCATGTAAAAAAATATAGTTGATTTATGTAGTGCCATTCATGATGTCAAGACGAACAAAAGTGTTTTACAACTAATTAAGCCTTCTTTCAAGGGATTGGTAGTCCAGAACTTAAGTATTGTTGAGAAAAGACATTTTATTGAAGCATTTTGTCTTGTACTCATCAAGTTAATTCACAAGAAATACCACTAAGGGAAAACAACATTTTATGTCATACAAAAGGAATTAGGATTGGCAGTTGGGCTCAAAGCATGGCACACTTGCCTGTAATGGCAGTTAAATATATTAATACACAGAACTCTGTTCTTTGCAGACAGACAAACATGCGCACACACAACCATTGTTTCAAGTCAACAAAATAAGTGACAGCTGTGTCCTCATAAGACAAAAAGATTCTACAAAATCTGTCTTTTTTACCCCAGCAATATTTGAGCTATTTTAATTTTATGTTGGGATATGGACATAAGATATCTCAGAGAGGAGTTAAGTGTCAATCATACTGCTTTGCTTTGGGTCCAAAGCAACATTTAAACAAAACCAAGTAAAGATGACCACTTGCTTCCTTAATTATCAGCCAATCAGATGGGTGTTTAAAACAATTGATGACAGCCTCCAGATTGGTGACACGAAACTAACTTTCAAAGCTAGATTTTTAAAAAAAAAAATTAATTGAATTTAAGTCGCATCAGAAGCAACGGTGGAATTTTAATCTCCAAAATATCAGCCTGGACCTCTGCATTGCTAGTTAAGTAACATTACTACAAGGCTCAGCAGGTCTGGCAGCATCTGTGAAGAGAAAAATCAGGGTTAACATTTCGGGTCTGGTGACCATTCCTCAGAATCAGCGTTCTGAAGGCCACTGAGCTACCACGCCACCCAAGATAATCATCCATGTTACATTTGAAAGTCATGGAGATTTTGAACAAGTTTACTGTCAAACAGCTCCACAGTTATTGAAGCCTGTGTGTCATTTTAATCAGGCACACTGACATTATTTTTCCCACGAAACCACTGATATTAGCTAATGGCAGTCTCTTCTCTTTCTCTGGCACAAAGCTGACTTGCTGCTATTGTCCAGAATGAGAAAATGGTTAGATAACAATGTTAGATGGTAGTTGAAAACCATAAGAGATTGATTGATGTTGCAAATAATGCTATAGCTCTTCTGTAAAATAAGCCTTGACAACCCTGTCAAGACCAATATATATGGAATGAAAAGTAACGAAGTTGATTACACTTTTAAAAAAGTGTATCGAATACATACCAAGATTTGGGCAGCACGGTGGCTCAGTGGTTAGCACTGCTGCCTCACAGCGCCAGGTGCCTGGGTTCGAATCCACCCTCGGGCAACTGTCTGTGTGGAGTTTGCACATTCTCCCCGTGTCTGCACAGGTTTCCTCCGGGTGCTCCGGTTTCCTCCCACAGTCCAAAGATGTGCACACTAGGTGGATTGGTCATGCTAAATTACCCGTAGTGTTCAGGGATGTGTAGATTAGGTGGGTTATAGGGGAATGGTTCTGGGTGCGATGCTCTGAGAGTCAGTGTGGACTTGTTGGCCGAAGAGCCTGTTTCCACACTGTAGGGATTCTGTTCTATTTGGTGAACTTACTGTTTGTGACTTCACTCAAACACTTACCTTTTCATTAGAAGTTCCAAGTCTTCTTTTTCAATAGTTCTTCTTTTAGCATGTTTGCTATAAACATCAACATCATCGCAAAGCTGTTTGAAATACAACTCCAAGCTGTAACAAAAAAAAGAAAATATTTGTAATATCCACAAGATATAGAACATATTTCTCATGTGGTCTTACCACTTACATTATATCAATCGCAGGTAACACCATCTATGATCACTGTCCACGCACAGCCGCTTTCCCCTCCAAATTCTGTCACATCTGACCCCCAAGATGCACTTTCAAATACATATCCATTCCATACCATGACTAAGACTGTCATTTCCATCTCCACACCATTACCCAATTCTGCCACTGCCACTGCCTGTCCTGCTACTGCTGAAAACCTCCTCCATACCTTTGTTACCTCCAGACTTGAATATTTTAAGCACTTCCGATCATCCTGCTTGTTCTACGTTATGTAAACTTAAACTAATGCAAATCTCCCTGGTTCGCTGTCCTGACTCTCATCAAATCCTGTTCAATTGTCACCGTGCTCGTTTATGGTGACTCCTGGTGAACAATGTTTTGATTTTAGAATTTTCATCCTCACTTCCAAATCCCCCTAGGTTTTGGCTTCTCCCTGTTTCTACAATTTACTGCAGTTCCAAAATCCTCAGAGATAGCTACATTCCACTGATTCTAGCTTGAGGATCTATTGGTGGAACCGTGCTTCGAAATTCCCTCCTTATATTTCACTGTCTCTTTCCTCCTCTAAGCAGCTCCTTAAACCCACCTCTTTGGCATCTGCCCAAATACCTAGCCCAAGTAGTTCAGAATCACACTTTGTTTTGTAGCGCTTTGTGAAGTGTCTTGGGACATTTTATTAAAGAGAGCTCTCTTGCGCCACAGTGGTAGTGCCCCTACCCCTGGACCAGAAGGCCCGGGTTCAAGTCCCACCTGCTCCAGAAGTGTATAATAACGTTTCTAAACAGGTTGATTAGAAAAATAAATTAAAGGTGATATATTAGTTGCTGTTGTTTGTGCCCCAATTTTGAAATCTTTAGAATTATTGTTCAAAACATTTATTATAAAATAATTTGCTTTAATGATGAGCATTGTGAAACTGCAACTTACCATTGTTCAACTACTGCAAATGTTTCCTTCTTCACTCTCATTTTGGCATAGTGAGTAAACACAGACTTTACAAAGCTGCTTGGCAAAATGGTTTTCTTTCGTGCTTTAGTTGTTTTCTTTGAGTTCTGCTTTACCTTTACAAGTGGTTTTTGTGCTCTGCTGATCAATACATACTATATTTAATGTTGGTACAAGCAACTGGTTTTACATTTTTCAACAGGTTTATAACCAACTAGTGCTTGGAAACTAGATTTCAAAATCCAGCTATGTTTTAAATCAGTACAGATCATTCAGTTGATTTCAGTGTCACCAATCATTCCTGTAACAGTGTCCTTAAATTCAGCTGTCTACCTACCTATTTACTGTCCATTACTAATTATTAGATAGCTATGACTACAGGAACCCATTGTTTGCAGAAGGTCTTTTCCGAGTATTTATTTTACCTTTTTAGAGAATCAATGTTTTGTTTAAGAGTAAACCAACTTGCTAACAGACAATAAAATTTACACTGAATATGAATCTATTCTATAATGTCCTGAAAAACATAGAAAATAAGTACATCTGCCAAACTTTCCTTCAGAGGACTAAATTCACTTTTGACATTGTATCTCCTTTGTCAGATAGACAGAAAGCCAAAGACTGGTCTTTTGCGATTCCTTGACAAAATGAGGTTCAGTGATTAAGTGTAATTGTTGACATTACTTAAAACCAACCTGAGCCCTAGTCCCTAACAGTTGTCGAGATATAAGCACCACTTTTCGTCAAATGCTGCCCTGATGTCACATGCTTCTCACCTCTTCAATTTAGATCCATTGTCCGTGTTTAAACCAAAGTTTTAATGAAGTCTGAAACTCAGTCATCCTGGTGAAGTCCAGTCTGAGCATCAACGAGCAAGTTTTTGGAAATTAAGTGACACATGACCGCCTTTATTACTAAGAACACCTTCCGTTACTTTATTGGTAACTGAAAAGCATGTTAGTGATGAGTTAATTGTCTAGATTAGATTTGCCCCGATTTTCATGGACAGGATATATCTGGATAGGAGGGCTTTATGGCACAGTGGTAGTACCCTGAATAACTAGATATTACATTTAGAAACTAATCCACACTTCCCAAACCTCTTCCAACTGTATCTCCATTTGAAGGTTTGAAAACTGTCGCAAGCACTCAGTGAGGCCTATGAGAACAGAGGGTGAGATGGTGGTAAGAAAAGACCTATAGCGGACAGGGGAAATAAAATCTTTGAGCATATTTGGGGCGAGGTAGGAGGAAAGGGACAGAACTCCTGCAGTTAAAATAGCTGCACAGGAACTTGAGACCCACAAACTTTAAGCTCGTGGCCACATCGAGAGTACTGGCCCCAACTTTGTGAAGCCCAGCCCTGAACTAAACTATCAGAGATGTCAATGTATTCTTATGGGGTGGAAGATGGGGTTGTGGGAAAAGAGACAGGAGATTGAAGGAAACAATATCCAAGTTTCAAAAATAAAAACAAATGGGTTAAGGAGAGGAATTTAAAAATACCATGTTCATAAAATCACGGAACCTATTTTGACCAACAGTTGTCCCAGGAAAGAATCTAACAGTGGTTAACCGCACATCTCATCAATGTCAGTTCTTTCTGGAATTTTTCATTACACCTACTCTTGTCCACAATGAGATTTCCAGACCATAAAAACTCATGGTGAAGGCAATGGCAAAACAAAAGAAAAGAAAATGAACAATTTCCAATCCAACATTTTTATCACAATCTTATTCTAGTGAAATATAGAATACACTTAGCCATAGTCATGTTCTCGTGCTAAGAAATATTTGCAGGAGGATCGAAACAATCAAGCTAATGTGATAGAACATTAAACAAGTAATCCAGCCTAATTTGTAGTACCTTAAATTTGCAATATCACTTGCCAGGTTTTTCTGTATTATTTTTGTCTATTCTTTCCATACAGGAGCACCGTTTCTGCCCCTTTAAGAAAAAAATCTGAATGGAGGGTGGAAATATAGTGAAAATCAGGACAGTTGGCGTCACAGCTATCTCCACTATAATTTTTAAAGGCGTGACATGTTATTTCTGGCAGTGTCCCTACCCCTGGAGCAAGAGACCCAAGTTCAAGTCCCACCTGCTCCAGAGGTGTGTAATAATATTTCTGAACAAGTTGATGAGAAGAAAAATGAAGGGAATCCCTCACAGCTCCAATGGAATGAAGACTGTAAAAACCAATATCAAAAGGAATAAAATGTGAGAGAAGCCTCCCCTTTAGACTCATATACGTTGACTTCTGGTGGGAGCTCTGTATAAAATTGTTTCTCTGGTGCATCCGCCCCTCACCTGCCCAAAACAAATCCAATACAGAGAAAAAAACAGAAATAGGAATTGCTGGAGAAACTCAGCAGGTCTGGCAGTATTTGTGGAGTGAAAGCAGAGTCAACATTTTGAGTTCTGTGACCCTTTTTCAGAAAACCTTTTGCTTCAGATTTCCAGCATCTGTAGTTCTTTGTTTTCTTCCAGAATAAAAACAGTTTTATTTATACAATTTATAAAAATAGACTAGTTATTCAACCCTGGTTTTCCCCATTAAACAGTCAAATACCATAATAACTGAACTAAAGTACAACACTGAAATTAACAATTATTTATTTATCTAAGTAGAGCTGTTTCCCAAGCTGTAAAGATAAATATGTAGGCCTGGAATCAAAAGATAGCTCCATGTTAGAAACACATTTTAGCAATACCTCGATTGTTAAGAGAGTGGTAAAAATTAACTATCAACTTACAAACTTTCAGATGTTTGATGACATTAAAATGAGTGAAACCAGTCAGTCATTCAGATATGTATCATAGATAGTAGGAACTGCAGATGCTGGAGAATCCGAGACAACAAGGTGCAGGGCTGGATGAACACAGCAGGCCAAGCAGCATCATAGGAGCAGAAAGGCTGACGTTTTGGGCCTAGACCCTTCATCAGAAAAAGGGGGAGGGGGGGGGGGG